AATAGTATTTTGATAGTTTATTTTTATCTTTCTGCATTAGCATTGTCCTTCAAATAAACATTCATGCTGGGATACTGTACAGTATTCCAGTATTCCAGAGTGAGGTATTTATACTGTCTGACTTTCCAGTTTTTCTCTTATTTTTTAAAATTTCCGGTGTTTTGTGAAGGCCACCAACTTTGTAATGTATATTCCAGGGGCATATCAAATGGTAGTGTGAGTGTTAATGAGGTTGAGTGAAGTATTCTGCTTGAAGTGTCAGAGAACAGATCTCAAAGCCAGCAGGACAGCGGAAATTAGGGGACTCCCCAGAGGCAACCACAGAGAGGGTAGGCCCAGCTCTGCCTGAATCCTTAGCTGAATACTACATTTCACAGGCTCAGGGGTGACCCATAGGAAACCATGCTTAAAAGCAGTGACTGGAAGCCTTAAGAGCAAACAGAGGTGAGTGGCTGCATACCTTGGATTCAAGTTTGCGGTGTGAACCCAGGCAAGGGAACTGCCTATTAGAATGCGAGTTGACTAATCCTCAGAAACCATGACAGAATCTAGTGTTGTAACATATTAGCTATAGGCATACGTTTTCTACAAGAAAAAAATTTGACATGCAGTTAAACAGAAAAATGTGATCTATACCCAAGCAAAAAGCAGTCAAACCAGCATGGTGGCTCATGCCTGTAATTCCAGCACTTTGGGATGTGGAGGCGGGAGGATACTTGAGCCCAGGGGGTTCAAGACCAAACCAGACAACTCGTTTCTACAGTAAATTTTTTTTTTTTTTGAGTTGGAGTCTCACTCTGTTGCCCAGACTGGAGTGCAGTGGCCGCTCCCGGCCACCGCAGCCTCGACCTGCTGGGCTCCGGCGATCCTTCCGCCTCAGCCTTCCAAGTAGCCGGAATTACAGGCATGCGCTACCACGCCCGGCTGATTTTTTTTTATTTATTGTAGAGATGAGGTCTTGCCTGCCCAGGCAGGTCTCGAACCCGCGGGCTCAGGCAATTCACTCACCTCAGCCTCCCAAAGGTGCGGGATTACAGGCTGAGCCACCGAGCCCGGTTTACAATAAATTTTTTTTAAAAAGCTGGACATGGTGGCACACACCTGGAGTTCCACCTACTTGGAAGGCTGAGGCAGAAGGATCACCTGAGTCCAGCAGGTCAAGGCTGAGGTAGCTGTGAGTGTGCTGCTGCACTCCAGCCTAGGTGACAGTGTCAGACTGTGACTCCAAAAAAAAAAAAAGGAAAGAACAATTAACAGAACTGACTCTTGGCCCAGATGTGAATTTAGCAAAGACTTAAAGCAGTTTTTAAAAACAAGTTCAGAGAATTAAAAGAAAACATGGCATCAGTGAATAAAAGTGATCTGATCTGAGCAGTGAAAACTATTTAAAAAATAAAGAAAAACCAACCTTGGTATCCTAGTACTAAAAAGTATAATTATTAAAATTTTAAAAAATTGCTAGATGGGCTCAAAAGCAGTTAGGAAATGTCAGAAGATAGGACAACAAACTTAAAGACTCAGCAGAAATTGCCCTATCTAAAGAACAGGGGAGAGAAAAAAAGATGGGAAATGAACAGAACCTCTGAGACCTGTGACGAGGTCTAATATACATGTGTTTGAACAGCTGAAAGAAGAGGTGAAAGAGAGACATGTGTATTTGAAGCAATAATGGCTGAAAACTTGCAAGATTTAGCGAATGACATGAATTACAGATTTCAAGAAGCTTACAGAGCCCCAAGAAGGATGAATATAAAGAAAACCATTCCTGGATACATTGTAGTCAAACATTATGATAAGCAGAAATGTTTAAAGCTATCAGGAAAATGATGCTTGTTTGTTTTTCAAGGAAAACAACGGAAGGTAAAGTCTTGAAGATTTTCAGAAAAAATTCGTAGACAACTTGTTTTCACCAATACGTAATATTTGACTTTGGAAAACTTATACCACCAACAGCTTTCCAACACCTTAAAAGACTTTTTTTTTAAAAATGGCATTGATGGTGATATTCACAAATATGATTTTGAAAAATATTGCATAGCATAATGAAATGTGTCAACATAAGGAGGATCTAAATAACTCAGTGTTACAAAATCATTCATTGGTTAAAGATCCATTCGAAGTACAAGGTAGACCAATGGATTTTATTGTTAACAAAATACAAAAAGTGTATTAGGCCGGACTCAGTGACTCAGTCTGTAATCCCAGCACTTTGGGAGGCCAAAGCGAGTGGATTACCTGAGCCCACAGGTTCAAGACCAGTCGGGCAACTTGGCAAGACCTAGTCTCTACAATAAATCAAAAATTGGCAGGGCATGGTACTGCGTGCCTGTAGTTCCGGCTACTTGGAAGTCTGAGGTGGAATGATCGCTGGAGCGCAGCGAGTCAAAGTGTATTGAAATGGTTTAGGATTCCACATTGTAACTACTTTTTAAGACTCTACCGCTCTTCAAGGTTGGTTAAGGAGTCAGAGAATAGCCAGTTATCTGAATAGGTTATACTATTACCGCTCCTTTTCCAAACTACCTATTTATCAACGAGAGACCAGATTTTCTTCATGTACTTCAAGCAGAACAACATATCGCAACAGATTGCATGAAGAGCAAGCAGATTTGAGAGTTCAGCTAGCACCTTTTCAGCCAGACGTGAAAAAACCTTACAAAATTGTAAAATGATGTTTTTCAGTTTTGGAAATCACGGCTATCTTTAATAAAATAGACTTTGTATGCTCGTAGGTAGAGAGTTTATTATTGAATGAGTTGATAAATGTATTTTTAAAGAGTATTAGTTTTAATTTCTAGCACAGTAAATGTCAGTTGATATTCTCCACATTAACGAAAGCCCTTTGGAGTCCTCCTTTTTTCTTTTTTTTTTTTTAAGTGTAGAGGTGTCCAGAGACAAAAAGGTTTGAGAACTGTTTTGAGTGTGTTGCCTCCACAAAGAAGATACATTCCTTTAAAGGATCAGATGGGAAAATTGGAAACATCTTGTAGCCCAGGAGATTAATGTTCTTGAGAATATCATGACATTCAAGTTTCGTTGGTATCTTTGGTTATTTTCAAGTAGATGATAATATAAAGTGGCCATCAAGTGTGCTGCTGCTTCCTGTTTCTAATGGTACACCTTCCCACCCACCCCATTTCTTTCCAAACCTTTAATTTCTACCAGGGACCTTTATCAGGAAAGCAAGAAGGGACTTTGCAGTGGTGACTAATCCTTATTTTCTTTACTTCTTCCCCCTTTTTGTTATGTTTAGAGGTTATTCAGGGAGAGCTGTTGAAAAGTTTTAAAGGACTTCTGTAGTGAATAGCATAGCACAGTGGATCGCTGTGCTATTCTGAATTCTTTAGTTTCTGGAAAAGACCATCAATCATTTGACATTAATTAATTATTAAAGTTTGTCTCACTTGTGTGGAGAATTGTAAAGATGGAGAACTTAGAGACACTTACCCTGAATTTTTTTTTTAGTTCTGCTTATAATTTTTAATTCAATGCTTGTTTGAGTTTATGTACTAGGTGGCAAAACCAATCTATCAGAAATAAATGTGTTACAAGTGATGTTCATAACATAAATGTGTAGTAAGTTTAATATTGTGTTATTTTATTCTTTGACAAAAGTATATTAACTACCACAAAGTAAAAACAAGAAGCCTGCCCACCTACCTACTTGCATGAAACTGGAAAGATCACAACTTCTTCCATGAATTCCCCTTCGTTCATTATTATTGCTTTCCCTATTTCTTGGTGTTCCTCCCCCTTTTCCCAGTGTTATTAGTAACTTTGAACTTGTGTTTGAATGTAGAAAAACCGTTACTAGAAATAAATTTGTACAGATTTGATTGTTTTTACAATGTAGACTATTATGGTCATAAAATCAGACAAATGTTACCATTCTCTTGCTTCTGGTCTTTTATAGTTTTATATAGTATTTTTGGTGGTTTTGAAACATGTGTGTGGACAAGAGTGCCAAAGTAACTTTAAGTTTTATTTTTTAAAACAAAGATGAAGTTTGCTCTGTCTCCTAGGCTGGTGTACAGCCATATAATTATAGCTTACTACAGCCTCTAACTCCTAGGCTCAAATGTTCCTCTCATCCCAGCCTCCTAAGTAGCTGAGACTATAGGAACATGTAATAGCACCTGACATTTTTTTTTTTTTTTTTTTGATTTGGAGTCTCACTCTGTCACCCAGGCTGGAGGTCAGTGGCACGCTCCTGGCCACCGCAGCCTCAACCTGCTGGGCTCCTGCGATCCTTCCACCTCAGCCTTCCAAGTAGCCAGAACTACAGGCACGTGCTACCATGCCCAGCTAATTTTTGATTTATTATAGAGACGAGGTCTCGCCAAATTGCCTGGGTGGGTCTCAAACCCATGGACTCAGGCAATCTTCTCGCCTCAGCCTCTCAAAAGCACCTGACTTTTTTTTCTTTGATAGTTGAGTTACATGGAAATAAAGAAATGAACAGTTTTGCCCTGTGTTGAGTCTAAGGAACTCAATAGTAATTTACTTTCTGATTCATATTTTTTTTTTTTTTTTGAGTTGGAGTCTCACTCTGTCACCCAGACTGGAGTGCAGTGGCCGCTCCCGGCCACCGCAGCCTCGGCCTGCTGGGCTCCGGCGATCCTTCCGCCTCAGCCTTCCGAGTAGCCAGAATTACAGGCGCGCGCTACCACACCCGGCTAATTTTTTTATTTTATTGTAGAGATGAGGTCTTGCCTGCCCAGGTGGGTCTCGAACCCGCGGGCTCAGGCAGTCCACTCAACTCAGCCTCCCAAGGCGTGGGATTACAGGCTGAGCCACCGAGCCTGGCGATATTTTTTAAATGATTTTTTTTTCCTCTTTGCAAATGGTTGTGACTCTGAAAGCCACATAAAGGGCCTCACAGAACAGAAAGCTACTGATTTAAGGATGTCAATTAGAGAGGTATCTATTTGGGTCTAGAAATCAAACCTGACTATTCACCAGCTGACTTCTTAAACCACAATTTCCCTTGTGTTTTTTAGGCCAAAGATGAAGAGGAGGCCTTCCTGGATTGGAGTGAAGATGATGATGATGGATTTGATCCAAGCACACTGCCAGATCCAGATAAGTACAGAAACTCTGAAGAATCAGAAAGTAAAGATATGGGAAAGAAAATCAGGTGTGTTTCTACTATTGGTGTCAAGCACTTATTTAATACATCAGTCTTTTAATGAATCCAAAAGACATTACTAAATGTATCACTCCAGGGTTTTTTTTTTTCTTCTTCTTTTTTGAGTTGGAGTCTCACTGTCGCCCAGACTGGAGTGCAGTGGCCGCTCCCAGCTACCACAGCCTCGACCTGCTGGGCTCTGGCGATCCTTCCACCTCAGCCTTCCAAGTAGCAGGAACCACAGGCACGCGCTACCACGCCCAGCTAATTTTTTTTGATTTATTATAGAGTTGAGGTCTTGCCTGCCCAGGCGGGTCTCGAACCTGCGGACTCAGGCAATCCACTCACCTCAACCTCCCAAAGGCACAGGATTACAGGCTGAGCCACTGAGCCTGGCTCCAGGGATTTTTTTAAACCTTTACTGATATCCTGGAAAACCTTGCTGCTCTTTTTTACTCATTTTGCCAGTAGGTTGTTCTACAAGTAGCTCTTTTCTGACCATGTTAGGGACTTTTTGATTGTTTGGTAATCCCTTTTAACAGTTAAAAGTATGATATAAGTGTTGTATTTTCTTATGGCTCCAATTAGTATTTGATGCACTAGGATACATTCAGTGCAAACAGGCAGAATTTTATTTTGAGTCACTGTCAAAGGCTATATTAAGAGTACTATTAAAAATAATTTCTAAATTTTAAAAGGGGAAGTTATACTTTCATATTCTTTTATATAGAATTAAGTAACAAATAAAATAGTGGAAAATTACTACATACATAACCTTTGACAAATTCTTTCAATTTAAAATCTATTCATTTGCTGTTATCTATTTGCTGCTGTGACAAAAACAAAGAAAATGTGATGAATTGAATGCATAGTAGTATGTTGTTTTGAGAGTACTGTGCATTAGATTACATTAAGAGTTATTGATTTAAAAGTCGAGAATGTTAAACTTCATGGACACTCTAAACCAATGAGCTTACTTAGACAGAAGAAAAGTACTAATGACAGTAAAGTTAATATGATTGAAAGGAAGATGCTTGATAGAAGCCTTGAAGTGATAGCCCACGGAGTTTAGAGTTGGAGAAAAATAGTCCATAAGGCGCTATAATTTGTTTTTAAACAAGGACAGCGTTATGAAAAGTTCTCAAAAAGATTTTCTTCTGGAGAAAATGCTGTAGAGATACAGAGTTACTCTTCATTTGAATTGTGTACTCATTTAAACATAGAATTATTTTGTAAAGGAAACATTCACTTATCCAAAATGCAGTCTTCTGAGGTGACACCAGAAACTTGCATTTGCTATTTGGTAATCTGGTGGTGAACATACTAACTTTATGGTATGTGTAGACTCTAGGTAGTAGACATATTCACTTTACTACCACAAAAGGCAACATAGTAAGAAGGATTTGTTAGGATCCAGAAAAGTATATAAATGTATGTGCTATAAGGGTTAAATAATTTAGGTTCAGGGCACATTCCTAATCTTTAGAAGATGACCTCTAAGAGTAAATATACACATTCTGCTTCAGAGAATTACTTGGCTTACATTTCTAAGACCTAGATGAACTAGGGTCAAGTTTGCTGCCCCTTATGTTCTTATATAAATGTTTCTTTTTTAGAGTAGTTTTCAGGATCTGTACTTTGGTGGATGTGATTTAACTTAGCACGTGTGACTTTAAATCATTAACTTCCAAATGTTTCTGTCTCATTTGTCTCCCTGGAGGTAGCATTAATTGGTTATTAGAGTTTTGCAGCCATATTTGGCATATCTGTCTAACATACCTTTAAAAGATAGAGTCAACCTTTGAAACCATTGGCAGAATGTCAGCAAGCCTTCAGCATCTGATTCGTATGCATTTTTTCCCTAACATTTTTATGGTCGTTTCTGGGTCACCTTTCATCTATATGCAGCAAGCATTTAATTTCATTCTGTCATTTCTTACCCTTACCCTCATGGTGACATTTCCCTGCTATCAGCTAGTTCATATAACTTATATTCTAATGGCTTCATGTGTTTGATTGTTTCCTCTTCTTAATTAGTTGTATATGTTTTGTACCTCTAAATTGTCTTTACGTATTTGGGTTTAGTTTGTTTTTGGTACCAACATTCAACAGCTGAAATATTTGAAGTTGATTAATTGATTGATGAAGGACATTTACAAGGTTAAAAAAGAGCAGTGTAATTTTTTTTTTTTTTTTTGATTTGGAGTCTAACTCTGTCGCCCAGACTGGAATGCAGTGGCTGCTCCTGGCTACTGCAGCCTCAACCTGCTGGGCTCTGGCAATCCTTCTGCCTCAGCCTTCCAAGTAGCTGGAACTACAGACGCGTGCTACCACACCCGGCTAATTTTTGATTTATTGTAGAGATGAGAAGTGTAATTTTAAGAGACTATATCATTGGTCCTGATAACATGCATGATGATAGAATATAGGTGGTGGGAGAGTTGAAAGAAGCCAAGATTAGATAGTGTAATGGTGATAAACAGGAAGATAGAAGAACCTTGAGAGAAGCCAAAGCATCTTAAAGACAAGAGTTTAGATGGAAAATATTTAAGCATATAAATATTTGGCATAATTTTAATTTTAGGCACAGCTAGTAACTCTCGATTATCAGAGATTGAAACTGGTCATTTTGTTTTAAGATGAAGAAAGATTATCTTTTGTTTAAGAGGGTATCAACAAGGGCTTTATTACTAATTTGAGGTGTTTTATTCCTTTAGTATAATTAAGGACTTCAAAGGAGTTTTGTCTTTTGTAGCTGCACACACAGAGATCATCTAGTCAAATTCCCCCTTCTTACAGATGAAGACACCAAGGCTTTAAGGGGTAAAATAATTTGTCTGCGATCACAATAAAAGAACAGGTCAGTGTGATCTTTGTCAATTAAACTGATTCCCTAGTTCTAGAACCTGAATCAGGTTATGTAGATTACTCGGACATGGGGAGAGGTGGTTCAGGAAAACTTTCTGAAGACAAATTTCATGGCATTTGACAAAGACCTGGATCCTTGGTCTAAGATAGGTTTGACTGGACCATGGTTTCCCACCCTCAGCGTCATTCGTATTCTGGCTCAGATAATTCTTTGTTTGGGGGAGGGGAGGCTGGAGCCTCTTGAGCATAATTCTTGGCCTTCACCAGTAGCAACCACTCCCAGCTGGGGCAACTAAAAGCATCTTGAGGCGTTGCCAGATATTACTCAGGAAGCAAAATCACCCACAGTTGAGAACCGCAGAACCTGACCTCGAATGGCAGACATATATTTTTGGTGCTTAATTTCCCTGTCCCTTATCCATGGAGGGTTTTTTCTAGGACCTTTTCCATTTGGCCCAAGCAGTCCTTCTCAACACAACCTCTATCAGCTGGAATTGGTATACAAGATAAAACTTATTTACATTTCCTATTAATACTCTAATTTCCATTTTTCTCCCCTTTCCCTTGTTTCTTAAAATTACCTCAATGGGCCTGGCTTGGTGGCTCAGCCTGTAATCCCAGCGCTTTGGGAGGTCGAGGTGAGTGGATTGCATGAGCCTGTGGGTTCGAGACCTACCTGGGCAACTTGCCGAGACCTCATCTCTACAATAAATAAAAAGTTAGCTGGGCATGGTAGTGTGCTCCTGTAGTTCCAGCTACTTGGAAGGCTGAGACAGAAGGATGGCCGAAGCCCAGCAGGTCGAGGCTGTGGTGGCCGGGAGCGGCCACTGCACTCCAGTCTGGGTGACAGAGTGAGACTCCAACTCAAAAAAAAAAAAATGACCTCAATGGCAATGAATCAAAATGTACGTAAACTAAAACCAAAATTGTTTAGGATAAAAAGTATTTGGGAGATTGTATACACTAGATTTTTGACAATAGTAATTGTTTCTGCTGCTACTACTGTTCATAATAACATCAGTGGAGTTTTTTTTGTGTACTTCCAGTTTGGCCTCATCTTCTTCTTTGCTCATAAGCTGACTATATGCTAAGGTCTTGTGATGCCAGCTTTAGAGGGTCCTCCTGGCATGTTCATAGGTCTTCCTTGCTTTGGTGTTTCTAACCTCTCTGTAATCATGGCCACAGCTAGCGCTCCAGCTTCTTGGTCGTTATCACTCTGCCAGTAGGTTACTCTCTGGGTGTAAACTTAGCATGTTCAGAGGTGAGTTCATTCTTATGGGACTAGAGATGCCAATTAGAACATAGCTATTAGTCCTAGACGAACTAGCATGAGCCTAATTCCTTTGAAAGTTTCCTCTTTTTTTGTCATTTTGTTGACACCCATAAACATCCAGCATGAGTAACACTTTTGCCTCTCCACATGGAAGGACATTATCAGCAGGAGACAGGTCATGGAGAGCTTGATTTAGCAGAGAATGAATGAACCTGGAGTCAACAGTTCCTCTTCAGAGAGGTCTGACAGTGTTTTAAAGAGTTTCTACTTCTGTCTTCCTTCTCCAATCAGTGCACAGCTGTAGTAGAATTTAAACTATCTTCAACCTTTTAGAATTAGCAGAATTGTTGTCTCTAGCACTGAGATTCCAGAGAGATTCTGATGTGCAGGATTCGACTCATTTAAGTTAGCTTGACAAAAAGAGATCTCTTGCTTATAATACGGTCACAAGAACAATGAAAATGATGTGACTCTGAGTTCTTTTTAAGGAGCTTTTTAAAGGAGCTTTAAGAATGCTACTATGAATAGCTCATTTATCCTCAGAAACAGGTAGTCTACCCACAGTACAGGGGAGTTGGGTCCAGATGACTGAACTGCATCTGAGGCTCTAAGCATTTGACAACAGCTGTAGAAGGGAGAGCCTGCTTTGATGTTCTCTGGTTTCTTTCCTCATCTTCATCCATCTTGCGAACTGGTCCAGGCTGTGTTTTGCTCTGTGACTTTCACCTCTCATTCCTGCTTTGAAACTGTAGAATTAACATTGGTAGAATTAATGGAAGATGTTTGGGTTTGCTGTTATTATCACTGTTATTAAAATAGAGACAAACAATTTGGTAGGAAACCTAGCTCTTTGTTTCAGTGGCCTTTG